GGGAGTATAAGATCAACTTGATAACAGTACTTAAGTTATCAAATTTAAATCAGTTGATGTAAATGTATTTGTTTTTAGATTACATATATATTATCATTATAAAAGTAGAAACCAGATCCTAATGATTTTTGAACGAGTGTACACAAAATCCAAGAAAAAATTCCAAGACAGAAGATAAATAAACAGATACTGTAGAACAGCAGTAGCTTCATGTTTGGACAAATTACAGGATACCCCACCTTAGGGTGTGTTTAGAGCATTGATCGCCTTCTCACCTGTAGTTGTTAAACTACTGCAGCTGAAGTCTACCTGTGGCCACACCTTTCAGAAACAGCAGGTGAAAGTTAAAACAGAATTCACCTCCAGAATGATGGTTCGCAACCGTAACAGCCTCTGGGTCAGTAGTAGAAATTGGTCAATGTTTGTCTGTTGTAGCCACAGGATACTTCTTATGGTTATTTAAACAGAGCATTTAAATTTTGATTTAAATTGTATAGAACAAATAAATATAGAAAAAAATAATGGCATTTCCCTTTTTTGTCTGTCAGTCTGTTAAAGTAATCTCTCTCTCTCTCTATCTCTTTGTTTCTGTCCAACTGTCTGCCTGCCTGCCTGTTACTCATGCAGTCAGTCACATATTCTACTTTGTGTGGTATACTATTCTGTCCATATCTCTGTCTGTACATCTGCCTTTTATGACAATCTACCCACAATTCTTAAAATGCACCTGACATTACTGGCATATATCTGAAAAAAAAAAAAAAAACGTACCACAAATTGCTACCAGAAATCTGCCAAACAAGTAAAAAGTTTTGACAGATTTAGTGCAAGTAAGATGGTTTCTCGGTACATCACTGCCCATTGTCTGTTCCCATGTTATCCTGTCATTGTCATCAGCTGCCATGATCCTTAACGATTGAACTTGGATATAAAAACTTATATATTAGAACTCATTTCATAACCCATTTGCAAGAGAAAATAATGCACCTCGTGAAATGACCATATTCAATCAAAAGAATTAGTTTCACTAATTTTATTTTGAATTATGTATAAATTGAGAAGTTGAAAGGCAAGAATATAAAACTCAACTATAACCTGGGCTGCACATAAAGATGCTTTGGGAATCACAAAGTGGTTTCAACTTCACTAAATGCCCTAGCTGTACTGAAGAAGTATTTATAACATGTGATCATTATCCTATACCTGACTCATTAATGTTTTTAATTAAGCACACATATCCTGTTGGCCTTACAGGAACCGTACCAATTATTGCAAAATGAAAGGGGGCACTCAACCTCAAGGCAATGCACCAATACTATTACATATTGGTTCTATAGCTCCAAAAAAAGCTGACTTTCTTATCAATCCATGCTGTGAAGTTGGTTTAGCCTGTTGATCCTGTTGATCCTCACCTCAAGACCCATAGCAGTGATGTAATTATAAAGTAACAGCTTCTCTCTTAGAATCCTGACAGGTGAAGTAAGTGTTCTGACAGTTATGTCTCTTCAACAAGTCATGTAAGAACTAGCACATGTATGTGTTTTCTTTTTGGTGATAGATACATGTACATGTAGGACAGGGAGCTCCACATTTGTAGTAAAACCCAGCAAGAATGACTCCATTTATTATTGTAATGGGCACATATTCCAATATTTTTAAAAGAAAAGTTAATTGTTAAGGAAGCCCTACTACCAAAATACCTTGTTTCTAAAGCCAACAAGGGGAAAATTAAGACTGTATATCTTTTATTAGCAAAATATCAGGCCTGCTGCAAATTCACAGTAAAGTTGTCGCTAATTTGCTGCAAACTGCAATTTCTTCTTGCAAATTTGCTGCAATATAGCTGCAAATTAGCAGCAATAAAATTTTTTTTCTTGCAATTTTGTTGCTCCAACATAGCTGCAAACTTTTCATTTTGCTAAGGGATATATATTTAAACAAGCACTGTAGTATTCTTTCAAAAAGTACTTGGTACCTAGCTGTTTTCTGTAATAGCATATAACCAGTGTCAGGTATGATATATTTTCCCAGATGATACTTTTTGACATAACTTATCCTAAGTGCATCGGTAAGATTGACAGGCAAGAGCCCCTGTGTGTACGAATCCGTATACAGTGTATATTTGATCTGTACATCCCTAATAGCAAGGGGTTCACTTAAGACTCTACTAGTACCTGTCCTCTTGTAAACGATCTTAAACATTGTTTTGAAAATCATGTACTTAACTCGCTATTTTTGTACACAAATGATGCTTGGTTGCCTCATTTTCAGTTACTTTAAATGTGAACTTAAATGTCGGTTTGAAAAGCATGTGTTTTAGTGTTAATTCACGTACACAAACATATCAAGGGTTTTTGTACCTGAACAGTTTGACTTCTCTTTCAACATACGCATGTAAGATATACCCACTTGAAAGCATGCATAAACTTTAGTTTTGTGTTTTAAATGTGTTTTAACTCCTCTTTCTCACCAGGTCGGGACAAGCAGATGGTGTCTGTGGGGTTTACGTATCTTTACTTATATCTAGGATAAACATCCAGAGATGCCATTAGGATAGGAGGCTATTTAAAAGAAGTGTGTACTTGGAACTTTTTTGGAGATGTGTATGTATTGGTGTTTCATTGGTATCCCTGTCCACTTTAAACTAACATTCATTGTTGATTGAATTCTTCCTCTGTTTTCTA